CCAAGGGAATCTTTGTTCCCTTTGTCAGCTTGCATCAAGTCCTCTCGGCAGCCTACCCCCGAAACCGTTTATCCAACATGGCCTGTGCCGCTGGTTACGGAGTACTTTATGCTACCTGGATTGGATTATTCATTGCTGTACTTGGCGGAAACAAGGGTGTGAAGGGATGGGCCTGGGCCTTTTTCTTTGCAGCCAGCATTTTGTTGGGATCACTTCGCAATGGGTTCCGTTGCCGATACAACATTCGCTCCAATGCTCTTGGTGACTTTTTGGCATCGTTGTTCTTGTGGCCTCAGGTCTTGGCACAGCTAAGGGTTCAATGCATCACATTGGGACTGCCAGTTGACAAGACAGACGAGGTTGAGGTTGCACCATTCAAGCTTGAAGAAGCGACCGAAACCAAGGGAGTCCGCTCCAGTGAAGCCTCTGAAGAAGTGAGCCCAGCATCCTTGTCTCCATCGGAGATGGAGTTCCCCCAGACAGAGATCGTTGCCTGAACCATGATTGCTAGTAGGCGTTGACTTTGTGTTTTGATTACTGTCTGTTTACTTATTGCACATTATTAAAGATTAAAGTTAGCCAGAATTGTTTCATCAAAATTTAACTGATCAAATCGCAGCGCTGCAATGAGGCAGCATGGAGCATGGAGCATTGGAGCTTCCCGGGCCTACTAGTACGTCCTAAGGCTAGGCACTAAAGCGAATCCGAGTGTTCCAATCAAGTTGATGATTCAGAAGAAATTGAAGCCAAGTGTTGGGCATGTGCAACTGCTGATACAGATAGCCTCATTCCCAGCATTGTCCCGGACGGCTGCATGCTGACATGTTTGCCTTGTGCCTTGCAACCAAGCAAGTTGAAACTATTGAAAAGTATGTCAATTTTCACCTGCACAGCTGGAATGCCGTGGACGCTGAAGGAAAAGAAGAAATAATTGGAAAGCGTGGAAACAAGGATTTATGCCCACAGTTAGTTGTTCCGCTCTCGGAAGGTGGAGAGCTCCCCAACAACTCCAGAGTACCGGCCACCTGCCACTCTTACTTAGACAGCAGTACTTGACCACTTGACCATCCGATTCAACGGACTGCTCGAATTTGACCATCCGATTCATCATTCATTGAATGCCGGTACGGACGTACGGACTAGTCTACTAGCTAGATCCAGTAAGCTATCTAGTACTAGTAGTCTACTCGGATAGTGAAAATGGATAATGGAGCTCCCGCCAGCTCCCTCTTCTCTCTTCTGGGACCGCAAAATAAATGGCCAGAGCTATGGCCAGTGAATTCTTGTGGCATTGGCTTCCTCGAGAATGGTCACTGGTCTAACATCATTAAGCGCTCATAAATCATGAAATGCTCATCCAAAATGTACTGTGAATGTTTAGTAGCAAATCGGGACAGAGAAATTCACCGGAAAGGAAGCTCTCCATCGAAGGTAATACATGATTTATTGGTAATCTTAACGATGGCCACAAGGGAATTGGTGAGTGTTAATCAGGGGAGTTGTGTACTCGTGGCCATGCACATTGGCCACCGAGCCGGCTGACGAAAAAGTGAGGACAAAGAGAGGGTGAGGCGGGCTTGTGACACTCAAATGGCACGATTGAGGAGAGGACAACTTACCGTTGGAGAAGCAGTCATGAATCAGTTAGTGATCCATGATCAATATTCGCAGAAACCCTCCAACAACCCAGTGCAGCCACCCCAAATGCTGTAAAAGGTGAAGCAAAACCAACAGAAACCATTGAACGGCACAGTGGTCAAACAAATCACCGTTGCCCAAACATAGTAATCCTTGGACGTTCAATTCTTTCCTTGCACCGACACAGTGTGCCACCAGAGCAGATAGTATAGAGGCAGTTCCAAATGTTCGTCATTGTCAACATGATATTTGCACAAAGCTGAAGGTCGGAGGCAGAAATGAAGATATGGAGTAGGCGGGAAGGTGCGTACCAACAAAAACTTCGAAAGAAATGAGCGGGAAAGCGAGCAGTCGACTAACATTCAAACAGCAAATAGAGTTCCACTCATGTGAGTAGCCAGATTGGCCACCACGCCTCCTTTGCCTTTGGCCACTCACATTTCATTGAAGAAGGAGTAAAATTGTAGCTCAGGAATGTGCCTTTGGGCTACCCAAATAGGTCGTTTGCCAGAGTGAAACTCCAATTTTTGTAATCAGCCATGTTAGTAGTAAATCAGTAGTGTCTTTCTCTGTCACTCGCAGAATAGTTTGCTTGAAGAACGAAGTCGCTCAATTGATGTCTGTATCTCGCCGAATCGCTGTTTGCCACCATGTCGTCTCGCCGTCCATCGCCACCGTACAATGAGCTGAACATTAGGTCGCTGAATGGCGAAGAATGGAATGCTGGTCGTCCATCGCCATTGTACAATGAGCTGGACATTAGGTCGCAGAATGGCGAACATCGGAATGCTGGTCGTGTCGCCAATGACAGAGCCCGTATCAACAATCGTAGCAGTGGACAACCACCATTGCAAGTGCGAAGTGCTCCCACAGTGCCATACCCCGCGCCATACTACCCCCAGTTCTTGCATGCATATGCCAACTATCCCACCCATGCATATCCGTATTGGCATGGCTATAGCCATGGACACCTCTCAGCTCCATCCATGACACAGCCGGTCTCTGCACAGAGAAAACCGAATTCGTGGCCACACCGTACGGTATCCACACCCATGGCCAGTTTGCGTGCTGGTGAATACACCGAAGATCCTGCATGCAACCCATGCTGGTCCAAGGAAGAAGCCAAGGCACAAATGATAGACCAGTATGGTGGATTCGTCGATGTTCATGGAGTGCAGAAACAATGTGTGAGACCTGATGGGACCGTAACACGAAATGACAACACCAAAGTGTACAAGTTCTGTTGCCGCGTCGGTGACAAAGACGACTTGGGTTCAATCAAATGCCCGTGGAGAGCACAGATTCGTGACATGGGTAATGTCTGCATTGCCAGTGCCAGATTTCGTAACTTCATCAAAAAGGGAAACAACGAACACAACCATTCCATGGAAAAGAAGCCTACTCATTGCAAGGACCAATATGGTTTATCACCAGCATTGGTTCCCATCGTTCACAAGTTCGTGGCAGATGAGACTGCCAGAGGAAGAAGCATTCTTAGGATTACTGCCGATGAAGTCTTGAAAGCCGTGACAGCCAAAGTACGCAGTGATCCAACCTTCCTTGATCACCGGTCACAGGTGGTTAACAACGAGGAACGCGATCATTTGACTCGCCAATTGAGAAACTACGTAGCCAATCAGAGAGAAATGTTTGTAAAGTCGAAGCTGTTCGGTCATTCGAACATTCGTAGCAACGACGTTTTGCTGAGAGTGTTATCGCATTGGACTCTGCGACTACCGGAAACCTATGAACCAAGATGCAACTTCAAATCACCGGATGAGCTGGCAAATGCCCTTCTTGTTTCGAGTTCTGCATCCATGATTGTCATGAACCTATCTAGTGGAGACGTCGTCGAGCGTTATCGTTCCAATGTGGTAGAACACCAAGAGATGAAGCAAGTGTCGGACTTCGACGAAAGAATTGAAGGTGCTTTTGTTGTGTTCTCAGCCACTGGTCTCTTCCAGTTAATGCATCTTGCTCTTAGAAGGAAGGGAACGAGGCAATTGTGCTGTGATGGCACTGGAGGAATGATACGTGATCAGAGTTGTCTCATCACAGTGGGTAGTGTCCCAGTAAAGCTCCGTGCCACATCTGATGAAGTTACCTCCTCATTCCGACCAATTCTTTATCTGCGAGCTGGTGGTGAACGGTTGCATCCATATTGTCTTGTGCTTTATTTAATGCGAGACCTATGCCACAGATGCTTTGGTATCGACTTCGAAATTGATTGGGGTACCTCAGATGATGCCGATACCTTCGTGTCAGCCCATGTGTTCTACAAGAAGTATCCTTCCCTGTGTGACGAAAACAGAATGGAATTGTCTGACAAACTGACTACTGTTTCTACACAGAGGGAGTACACTGTGGAGGAAATCGAAGAATATCCTCCTTCTCCCATCGACCTTCCTCTGACACAAGTTCTCGAAGATCGCGATTTGCGGAAAGATTCGGATAGTGTTGACAGCGACGATGACTGCATGCACGGTGAAGCTGTATTGAACTGTTTTTTTCATGTCGCACATGCATTTGCCACCAAGCGCAGTTATGTGGCGAAAATGAATGACAAAACGTTCTCGGCACCGAAGGGAACTGCTTACAGACATGTGTGCAGAATTGCTAGCACCAAGACAGTTGAACAGCGTCGTGTTGTGACATCATTGTACCTGCAAGACTGGAGAGAAAATCGTGGAGAGAAGAATGCTGCAGATCATCTCGAACGTGAATACTGCTGCTATCCTAAGTACAACTGGAATTATGCATGCAGTGGTGAGGTTGGTGTTTACCCCTCGAACTGTCCAAACGAAAGCTTCAATCGACATGGCATTAAGAGCATAGCTGCTGACTGCTCGAAGAATGCGTCGTTAGCAGCATTCCTGGTACACACAGCCCCGCGACTGCTTCAGGAAGATGCTAATACGAGGAGCGATCCATGCACTATCGAAATTCCACGAACATCATCCATCTTTGCTGTAGCGGCGACTGGATTCTTAAAAGAGGGTACCGATGTTGTCCAGCTTGGAGTCGACGAATATGGCAAGCCATCCAGCTGGTTGTGCAACTTAGGACACAAGGTTGGTGTCCCTATTGATACACGACGAATACGCATGGTAAATGCAGCAATTGATGGTGATCCGCGTCCCTTCCAAGCAGAGCTTGCTCAAATTGGACTCGATTTACCTGACTCGATAGCCGATGCTATGGTCCGAATGACTGACACAGTTTGTCATTTGCAATGGAAGCAAGGGAATATTGTGGGAGATTGCCAAAACTGTGTGAAACACTTGGGATACAGTTGCCCAGGTGCCATCTTTCTTCGTAGCAAGCACAACCTGCTCAATTGTCCCTTGTCAAACTTACGAAAGACAAGTGCCAATGCCAGAGGAGACGTTGCCAAGGCTTGTGCTAGAGGAAACACCAAGAAAATGTACCAGAGCGGCCTACCCAAAACCTCTAAGCGACGCTGTCTTTCGAAAATGCTAGAGTCATTCGATGCATATCTGGCAACTCTCAACCATCAGCAGCTTTCGAAGTTAGTTCTGTACTATCGTCTGTTTCCAAGACATGTTCCCAGTATTGATCCAGTGAAGGGATGGACCACACAGAATCTTCTCGACACTCTTCTTTCGTTTCATGACAACCCAACTGGACATCGTGCAATGCTATTGGCCAGACCTCGCGAGCAACCGACATCTTATTCTGTGGTAAAGACTATTGCCGAGAAGATTCAACAAACCACGGCTTCCCTTCCACAAAAGGAGAACAATTGTTAACAAATGATTGATTTGACCATAGTGCATCATTGAAACTAATATCACTAGTATCAGCAATTACAAAATTATGACAACACTAGCATCAGCACAGCCGCGACCTACAATGCTTGCTGAAGAAGTGAGCAAGGAAAAGTCGTGGTTTTTCGAAATAAACTTTCCATAGAAACAAACAAATTTAGGTGTCGGTTCCATTGACAATGGTTGTGCACAACCAATGCATGCCCAAAATTTTGAGTCGGCGCTACTCCAATTCGAGTACCACCTCCGACTTCTCTCTTGGTCTGGTTGATTGTCGAGTTGATGGAGTTCATTTCAGTAGCCACAACTGCCGAAGACACTACATTCATAGCTGCCTTTTTTGCCATTGTTCTCTGCCAATTTTGCAATCATCCAAAATGGCGCAACGTTACGAAGACGTGGATGCAGCTGCTGTGCGCACTCCTGTGCCGAGACTTCACAAGAACCCCATCACTACCCGCAACAAGATTGTCGTTCACACCACCATTGAACACTATCAGGATGAACTCGCGTACTGCTCTGCAAAGCTGGTGGAGATGATGCGTTGTGGTATGCATTTGCAAGCCCATGCCAATGCCAAGCTGCTCAGGATCAACAATGAACGGCGTGCTGATGGATACCCAGCCATTCGAGCATACATCTGCGAGCATGACATGACAGGAGTGTATTGGGTGATGTATCGGCTCCCTGATGGAAGTAGGTCCCCGTTTCCTTTTTGCAACGATTTCCCTGATTCGTCCATGTTCGAAAGGCTCTTCAAGTTGAAGCTCATCATGCCAGATCCCTTCACCGAAGCCCACAAGACTACACGTTTCTGCGAAATCTGGGAGATGGACGAAGACTAATATATCAACAGGTACCATCGTTGGTTGGGTGACGTTGACTTGCTCACTGAGGATGTGGAAGGATCAAGCACTGGAAGCGATTCCGTGAACATGGGAGGCATTAACCTCCACAGATTGGAGCGTCTTATTGACAATGAAGAGTCATCTGAGGAAGCTTTGCCAGTACCAATCAGGCCTGTTGCCTCTTTTGCCAAAGAAGATTGTGAGCCAGTCATCGACAACGACTCAGGCTCAGACACCAAGGTCCCAACTGAGGTCCCGGCTGAGGGGAGTGAGTCATCCACTTCGTCCCTTGGATCCCCCGTTCTCGATGAATCCAGGTTCGCCAAGATCGATGGAGAGATTGACGAGATCTTGGGCCGTCCAATCAAATGGGGCATTATGACTCAGTTGCCGGACAAAGAAGAGAGTACGGAGGACACCACTACTGACAACACCACTACTGACAACACCGATGAAGACAGTGCCGAGGAAGAGGATACGGCTACCGAAAACACCACTACCGATAACACCGAGGAAGAAACTGTGGAGGAAGAAACTGTCGAGGAAGAAACTGTCGAGGAAGGAACTGCCGAAGAAGCAACCATCCAGGGAGACAGTACGGACGAAAATTCAACTGCGAAGGAAGACGCAACTAACACTGAAGACGAAGAGAGTCCCAAGAAGAAGCAGAAGACGTCAGAGAGTGAAGACGAAGCAAACATCCATGGAGATAATGACAGTGACAATGATGGAAATGGCGAGGGAAACAGCTATAATGAAACGAACGGACCCATTCTTCTCTCCACTGGCAGCTGGTCCTATTAAATGACATTGCAGCAATTTACGGCTTCTCATGGCATCAATACAGGGCAATGTTCATTGAGTATCAGCGGTTGTTGTTTTGGTATTGGGTGCATTGGCTTGTTTTGGGGGTATCTGCGAATCTTGATTATGGTTTCATTCTCGAGTTGGGTGGGTATGTTTTACCACGGAACAGTATTTCGATAGTTAACACTACTAGATTCGCGCCAAATTAAAAACAACGCTAGCCAGTTTATCTAGCTATACATTTATGCATATAAATCCCTCGATAGCCACAAAGGGATGACCAATAGTAAGATATATTCGTTAATCAGCTCCAAAGATTCCTTGAAGTTCGCTTCTGAATAACACAAAAGAATATTGAAGCGCGTACCAACCTTTAATGCTGCAGTACGTTTACCCCACCAAAAAACGGTACTATTGCAATAAATTATTTATGTTTGAGGTGCTGGTTCAGCCAAATGAGTTAGACGGTTGTGACCTCAGTGCCGTAAAGGGTCTCTTCTTCTAAAGCTTGCCAAAGATGCTGCTAATTCCTCTAGTACCGACAGTCGACGCTGACTTTCCCTTCAGCTTGAAGCTTCCCTCAAACAGCTACTCAAACGAACATTCCTCGAGAGCTCCTCGAGTTAGTTAACCAAGCTGTTAACCATCAATTAAATTCTCCTGCTCCATCCTTCGATCGTCTTCCTGCTTCTCTCTGATCTCAGCTCTGATCTCTCACAATTTCAAACATCAGATTCTTTGATGCTTTAACCAACAAGATTAGTAATCCTCTACAAAGCCCCTTTGCTCCTTCCACAATACCAAAAAGATGGATATTCCCAGCTACTTTGTTGTCACCAACAGTGCCCCCGCTGTTCCCATCACAGCAGCAGAAGAAGAAATTCGATTGAATAATATCCCCAGTTTCATTGTGATTCCGACCATGTCTCTGGATGAACGCCTGGAACGAAAACTGTCTTCTTTTTCTTCTTCCTCCTCATTGTCAATATCCTCCCATTTGTTCCATCCCAGCAACGAACGATGGTCTTCGAATGGAGCAGCATCCTGCGAGAAATGTCCACCTACCAAGCCCCTACAAGATAAGAGCAGTACCAATTCCCTGACGGCACTGCTCCGCAAAGCCAAGTCATCTCACCACCAAACCCTAGCCCCTCGCCAGCCTTTGCGAACGAACACTCCGGCATCCATCGAATACTCTCCATCATCGATTCCTCGCATGCCACGTCGACAAGGTACCGCCACATCCATTGGACCATTGAGAGGGCCATAGAATAGGAATAGATGGAGGCAGAAGAACGAAGAGGTTACGAAACCCACTGTAAAATGCATACATAACCTTAGCTTGGTAGTAGAAACAACCTGTATAAAGAAAATCTTCCAATACAAAGAGTCATTCCAAACCGAGCCATCATTTAGTATTTTAATGGTGCGTATCGGCACTTAGAGGGGGTACCGATGTTCCATCAAGAACGCAAAAAGAAAGGCATCCTCAAGGCAGGCAGGACTTGCGTTCTTCAAAACTTTGAACCCAAAGACGCCACCCTGACCTTCAGTATCCAAGTTAGCATCTTAGTTGGCAGCCCAATCAGCGCTGTCAAGACCTTTGGGACACGACACTGCAATCTATGCAGCAGTACCGGTACCGGTAGCTAGGGAGCAACTTGCCATCATGAAACACTCCAGCGACTCAGTCGCCAGAGAAGCTAACCAGCTCCTGCCTCCTGCAACCAAATCTACCCAGCATGTCCACACAATCCAACATTCATAGCCCAAGCAATGATGATTCCCATGGGCGGTGAAAAAGACAAGCCAGCAACCAAACACCAGGTACCACAGAGTCTACACTACAATATATCCTATGTGTTAGCAATTTGGCAGTTTGTGAGCTGGGCTGTCTCA